AACTGTTTGTTTACAGAATTTGTCCCCAAATCCAGCTACGCCGGCTCTAGGGAGTGAGGCCAAGCTCAGCTGTCCCAATCAAGGCTTCTAAGTTACAGTGAACAGAATAGATAATCACCCATGGTTTGATTTTTATATTCTTGCCCATCCTGGAAAGTCAAGAAAATACTTCAGAGTTAATTTATTTACGTATTAGTTCTGCAGGACTTAAGTATAGCAAAAGGAGCTGCTTCCTTTGAGGCGGTATGCACGATGCGTTACCCTTGATTTGGCCAGACAGAGCACACGCCTATTCAAACCATCGCTGTCTCCACCATCAGTTCCAGCACCCGCAAAGAGCGCACTGGGGATGGACGGTGCCCCGGGGCTCGGCGGGCAGTGTGTGCTGTGGGGCTGCCAGGAAGGAGCCTTCCTTTGGCACAAACAGGCACACTCCAAGTGAAGCAGCTGCTCAGGGAGCTCCTGCTCCACTCAGTCTTTGTTTTTATCGGCTGCTAAAAGTGCAGCAGCAGCTGTCCCTGTGAGAGAGGATTTTAGGAGGCAGAAGCGCTCTGCCTCATTTCTGGTTTAACTCCCTATGAGAAATAGGAGCCTTAATTACATGTCTGACACACCCATTCTTACCATGGGCAGAAGGTGGGGTTTGTTTCATGTTTTAATATCTCTCAGTTTTAAATAGTTATAGCATCCCAGTGGAGGTAACGAGAACTATAAAGAGAAAGAAATCAAGATTAGGGTTTTGATCCAAAATGTATTGCACCACAAATTTCATAGTGTTTCATAATACAATCCATATTTACAGCACAGAAGGAAAGAAACCAATGGCCATAGAAAGGATTATGTATACCACTGTTTTTATACAAGGGAAAGTGCATTAGCTTTTTAATATACGTATACACACCATTCTTGCTCTGATATCTAAAGAAAATTCAACATTTAAGAACTAGAGTTATGGTAAGTTGATCCTGTATGAGCTTTGGGATGTTAAATTGAAGCTGTGTTAATGAATATATAATCTAAGACTTTATGTTGTCACTCTCTATTCTATGCTGCCTGTACTGCTTTTGCTGTTCAGCAGTAACCTTTCAAGCCTGGATCAACATAAACCAATTAGTCATTCAGCAGGCATCAGCGCGAGCAGAGGGAATCCTGTCCCCTGGTCTCAGGTCCCACAGACAGGCCGGGAAGAGGGACAGTCTAAAGAAAAAGACCGTAGAGAATAAAATCTTCCCAGAACCAACAGGGTCATCCTGCCCCTGCTTTGTTTCAGTACTGGAGCAATTGATACAAACCCACTTTTTGATTGTCTATTTTCATATCAGAGCACGGTTGTACTCTTCCCATAAACTTCCCTATGCAATTGTTAAGTGCCATGGATCAGGTTACTAAGGGCTGTGTTTGGACAAGCTTTAGTGTACTAAAAAAATCCTGTTGGTTTTCTTCACTTTAAATAAATATAACCTAGCTCTAAACTGAGGAGTGTCACTTGTGCCAAGGTAATGGCTACTGCGAGTACCGTGTCTGGGACATGGCTGATTAACAAAAACTGGGGAGGCCACCTGGGGTCTCGATGAGCAGCACATTTTCCGCTCTGGTAACTGACCTCGTGTGGAAGGACACTTCCATCTTCACCACAGCACGAGGGTCCACGGGAGCAGGGCGCAGCTCACGTGCTGTAACTAACTCTACACCTCGACTGCCACCGCCAAGGTCATTCAGACCCCTGTTAGCAAAGCAGAGTTAAAAACCTGAACAGTGACCGTACCCCTACTAGAGGACAGGTTGAATTTTCTTGACTATATTTAATAAAAGTATTGTTAGTAACACAAACCTCATTGTAAGTGAATTACCAGAACTGCAGCCTGCTCATCGAATTCCAGACGCATGTAGTTTTTTGAAAATATGTCCCATTTTTAAAGTCAGACTTGCTGCTGCTTCCCCTTTTCATCTAGATTCTACAGTGGTGTTAATAACTATGGGCAAAATTGTGCTTCCGCTCTGTGAGGCAAGGGCCGCCTTGGTCCCCTTTTCCTAAGGGGGAAGGAAAGCAAGCTGCTAAAACCCAGATTTATTCACTACGAGTTGAATTTTGCCCTCAAAACCAAAAATCTCATGAGCAGCGTTTCTTTCACCATGTAGCTAGGGGACAGTTAACAGCCCACTACATGTTCATAACAGTTTTTAAGCATCAGTATTTGAAGTACAGAAAACCACAGCCCAAGAGGCAGATACTGGTTACGAAGATTTGTTGCTAGCAGACTTGGAAGGAAAAAAAAAATAAAAATCAAAGTGTTTAGTACCAATATTTTTTATCTTTGTCACTAGATTATTATTATTGTTTTTTTTTTTTTTTAAATAAAAGGTATTCTCTGTGTGCATTTACAATACCTGGAATTCAGCTTTAAAAATTTAAAATGGTTTACTACCCCTTCTTCCCAATGCTAACAACGTATGGTACAGGCTAATAGATTAGTTTTAAAGGCGACTGAGTATTAGGTACTATAATTAAGACCATTTTAAATATTATTTTTCTTTAAGAAAAGTAAAATCAGACAACTCTAAAGTTGTGCCCTCAAATTAAATAATCATCATCAACATGCAGCCTTCAGGACTGCAGGCCAGGATATACGCACCTTAAATTACACAGTGATATGAAAAAATGCAAACCATTAGTTCTATCAGTATAACAAGGCAAGGCAGATTTCTTTTTTTGGTTAAAGCTCCTGCTCCTGTTCTTTGAAAGGCTTTTCAAACTGTCCAAAACTCAATACAGTACTGCCAACATTTTTTTTTTTTTTTCATTGCTTGCTTTCCACAGCGAGACAAGGAAGCTTTACTGTGCCTAGAGTTACTCGGCTCTAGCCCTCCAAAACAGAAGCTGGAATCACCATCAGTAACAGACGCACGCGTTAGAAGCTTGAACTGCCAGCACCGCTATTAGTGAGGTTAACATTACCCTTTGGTGCCAAGAAAACAAGACCGATGAGCACAAGGAGCAGACTTCCATTGAGGGACCGTCGAGACAACAGTCCCCAAATCCAACCCAGAAGAGGTGTTTCAGCTTGTAGTGACAATTTCTCCTTGCACAGTATTAGTTTTGTAAACAGTGTCAAAAGTTCTTGTACAAAATACTGCAATGACAGTGATTAAGACACACCTGAATTAGTGTGTTCAGCGTTCTTTTCACAGAAAAAAGTGGCGAGATGCTGACTGCTCGTTTTCAGGTTCCCTTAAGGCCACAGTGTCCTTGGGCTCGAGATAGACGGCCGGATGCTGCCTTTAGGAGATGGCTTTGACCCAAACCATGACATCTAGGAGAGGAAAGCACAATACATGTTATGCTAGGTTCACGCTTTTAAGAGGCTGAAGATTTGAAAAAAGAAAGAATACGGTACACAGGCACCTCCCCATCATTTGATGGAAAGAACCGTTTATAAAACAGAACACTGCAGACTTCAGACCGCAGTGAAGATAGTTTCACCCAATCAGATCTGGAAGAGACAGCATCCATTTGCCACAAGTGAAGATGACTGAAGATTACACTTACATATATTCCTTTAAAGTAATTACAAATTGCAAATCTACAGTCATTTAAACATGGTACCTTTAGTCAATCTACTATTAAACTGTTCCCTGAACAAGATGGCAAGGGCACCTCCCTCAGCTGCAATCATACATAGACTGAACACGTCCAGCTCACTGAGTGGGCAGAGATGAACGCAGGACATCGAAGGGACTGAGGCAGCGCTCGTTAATGATCACTCACTAACAAACACATAGCCAGGGACACACGGTCTCATTTTACACAATGGAAAGGAAGAACAGATCTACATGTCTAAGCCCAATGTCAAAGCGACAAACCAAGAATTTGGCTTCCTGCTTTTAAACATTTGACTGTACATTTGAACCAAGAATTTGGCTTCCTGCTTTTAAAGATTTGACTGTACTCCAGCAAGGAGCTTCCAGCCTCCCTCCATGGACTCAGTCCGCTGGGAAAAACTGTGCTGTTACTCCTTCTCTGAAGCACTGAAAATTGCGATTTCCCTCACTGAAATGGACAATTTCCGACATGTATGTGATTAGCTAACATTTTAATAATCAATTACAGTTATTACTGTAGCTAACATTTGGAAAAGATACTTTTCATGATCTCCCAGCACCTAAGAACTCTCATTCCATCTGCTGGGAGTCCTGTTGGAGACTACAAAGGGAACACAGCCCTTACCTTGTACTCCAAAGTTTCTTTAAGCATGTTTTCTTCCTCTTGTGAAAAATTCAGTAACACAGATACAGCTTTAATTAGATGGAATGCCTGAAAGAAACCACAGCATTGTGTTGCTTATGATGCTCTCAGGCTCTACATTCTGGACTATGGTGCAGCAGTTTTTCTGTAGGTTTGGTCACAGACTTTTTAGTCACAACTGCGAAGAGCGGACCAGCAGCCTTCTGTTATCCCCAGCTCCAAGAGACTAGGATGGCCTGTATCTTATTTCTTCTGTTTGTGTTTCCTGGCTTTCTGCTCTTTAACATTGGTTTGCATATTTTGGGGAAAGAAGACAAACGGGGAGCCTAGTTAGTTAGAACAGAGAAGCAGCTTGGCTCCTGTGGCATCCTAGTTTTTGTAAGCTTTGAAAAGTTGATCAAACCAGCATGTAGGTAGGAAAGAATCATGGCATTTCAAATGCACACTTATGTGTATTAACTCCATAGTAATGTTCTAACTGGGGCACACACTGCAGTGTCACTAAAGCAGTCAAGCACTCAGGACACCATAGAGTTCCACAATTATTTCTTGATCTTGCCCACCGACTTGCAATTAAGTCAAGCGTATGACTTTTTTT